ACGCTCGATCAATTTTTTTCACCAAATATTATCATGTAATGTATAATACATTATATAGCTTCTTTTGAAGCGATTTATTAAACTGAGATTTTTCTGAAACAATTCTGAAGAAATTGAGCCTGGATGGGACAGAAGATGTGTCTCTAATATTTCTCAGAATATTTATAATAAAAGTAAAGGCAGCGGCGTAGACATTTGACAAATAGATAACCCCTTGCGAGTTAGAATTCCTTGATGCCTCTCAATAATTGGGAATTATAAGTGATCCTAATTCAACGACCAGAGATTCGTTTCACTTTCAATGGACTTTTACCGTATCGAAACAAAGTCGGTATCGTCGAAGCATCTTCTGCATACAGGGATAGTTTCATCTTTCACTCAGTTGGGAGATTCTCACGCGTGATGTAACGACACTTGGTATAACTTTGGGAAATTATTTGAAGAGAAACGAAAGGAATATGCATTGATATTTTACGTCGAATCTGTTCTACGATTGTATGCTGAAATACACTTTCTCGTTCCCACGCTTCGATATTTGTATCTACGTGTACAAGGAAATAATCGACGTAAAATCTATAATAATAACGATTGCCTTTATGACTCAACATTTCTTTCAACGTCATTTTTATTCGAAAAGTTACCGAGGACCTAGCGTCATATGTTGGAAAGTGAAATGCTATCAGCCCCTGAAGGATCACACTTTCGTCTACACGGGAGCTCTGCGAGCTGACAGTGAGACCTCTTGCACGACTGAACTAATATTATTAGCGAAAGTTTACTAATCACAAGTCATGGCAACGTAAAATTTTACAAATTGCAAACCGATCAGATTATTCCATTCGTCGTAAAATTGCAAGGATCTGTCGACAATATTATTAATCAACAGGTCGAGATTAACCAACGATACTGTAACTATTAAACCATTTTGCAAAATTTCTAAAATTTTAAAATCAACAAAGAAAAATGTAACGCGAACAGAGAAGCGTAAACTACGAAAACTGTGAGACAAGTTTCATTGAACACTTTGCGTTGTTCAATCGAAAAAGGAAACCAATGATCTTCTTATTGCATTGTATAGTAAATGGTAAAATGACAATTCCGTGCCATCAACTGAGAGATACTGCGTTGCATGTTTGAATTTTATCTTAGACGCACCATCCGCATAAATTTCATACACACGTACATCTGCGATCTTCTTGCCGACGTGCAAGTTCGCGAGATAGACCGGTGCCGGGCGCCAAGACGCTCCGATCAATAAGGCAGCAACCTTGCGATCGTCACGATGCTGCGATGAAACTTTCGGTTTTAACCAATTCGCGCAGAATAACGAGTGAGACTCGTGGGTGTATTTTTCGTGGCAATAATATGCATTGAGCACACTGTGTGCAAGCTAATAGTCGGGATAACGCTGTGTTATATTGCGATTGATAACAATTATTCTAATAGTTTCGCAAAATAATTTTGAAAATTATTTAAAAATCGAAATTATTCAATTTGAAATAATTTTGAAAAGTGTACCGACGAACAGATTTTTTTTCAAAGACTTCTTCCGAAAATTAATACATATGTATATATATATCGTGTATATATATATATATGTATTATATATAAAGAAATATATTATAAGAAAAGATATAATATAAGAAAAAAAATATATAATACATATATATAATACATATGTATATACATATATATATGTATTATATATAAAGACTTCTTCCGAAAATTAATACATATATATATATATATATAAATCTTTTGTTTGTTTACTAAAGAAGTTTTTTTTTGGAAAATTTATTATTAATAAATAGCAATACGTTATATTTTTGACTTTTCTCTTTCACTACCATACCACCATATCATCTAATCGGCTTTTCAGTGTTTTTCGAATCATTTCTACACTGCGTTGCCTAAGTGCATTTTGTCCACAAAATATACGTGTAATGACTGCCGCGCGAATATGTTAATAAGACGCAGGGTGTCTAAGACAGAAAGTAAATACGTAGACCCGTGGTCTATGTATTTACTTTCTGCCTTAGGGCGCTATCTCCTTCTAAATATTTCCTTCGAACCACCGCGGTACTTATATGTACGTTTTCGAGGTTACAAATCATTTAACGACCCTTATAGCCTGCGGTGGAATAGGAGGGAACAGGATGGAGGACTCGGCCAACCTCAAAAAGCGATACAAGTGGCCGGTGCAGAGTACAAATAAATTATGGGAGCGTTTCTCAACATCGTGTCGTCGTTACGATTACACGAAGCAACAGTAATGAATTTATTTCACTGTTGGTCACGTTTCTGCGCTTTTCTCTGTTAATTGCAAACGGTTTACTAAATCTGTCTACGCTATCGATCGCGGGTTCGGTGACCTCACACTGCGGTCTGTTCAAGTTAAAATTACGAACATTTCAAAATTACCAATTAAATGCACGCGATGTGTTCTGCATTTTCTCGTCATATTCTCGGCATTTTCTCTTCTCGAGCACGAGATAACGACGGACAGTGATAGAGACGTGGCTGAAAAATGAAATTGAAATTGGCGGACACTGGCGATAGATGAATATCGAATTAACCGTTATAGACGAAAACAGATCGATATGACGTTTTAGGCGAGGGCTATTCTAGTCATGGAATCACGTCGGACAATATCGAATGCGGGGACGTGCTGGTTTTACTGCCGCACTAGTCGTGTCTCGGAGATATTTGCATCGATTTACATTTGCACACGGTCCATCGTCGTCTGTCATGGGCATTTATTATCTACAACCGATTACGTTTATAATTCTGTACAACTTCACTTGTTTTTCTCTCTTCTTTTTCTTTTTTCACGATATTATCGTTCACTTGTCCTCGATTTGTTACATTGAATAACAAATCTTTCCAGTTTTTTTTTTCTCCACGTACAGGTGAAGCGTGCTCTGTCAAAGTTAAAATACCTTCGTATAACGTGCTACTTTTATTTTTAAACATTTACTTTACTCGCCATTTACTGCTCTAATATGTTTCAAGCATATGTTGTTCCACTGCACTCCAGATAAGACTTGCAGAAAAGATTATTTTTTCGTGAAATAAATTATGATGTACTGAATATATATGTATATATATATTCTAATACAAAACTATGACTGACTATAAGAATATTCCGTATAAAGCTACTAATTCGGCATTTATTGAATTTCGCAGCACCGCACGTGATGCAAATAAAAATCAACGCGTAAAAGTAGAGGAGCCGGTGTTTGCTCTAACCTATAGTTAAGAGCAGGAAATTTTTGCGCAGTTTATTTACGTAACGATATTTAAATCGAAAGGAACGAGCCACCACGAGGATTGAAACAACAGAATAAGGAATAGAAAAACAGAACAAATTGACAAGGGACTGACCTGCAGGTGAATGGGGACCTTCTTCACCGGCGTGCTCATTTTTGATTAAAGAGAGATTGATCACGTTGCTCGGGAAAAAAGCGGATCTGATCACGATACTGATCGCCGGTCGCGTAGTATATATTCTGTATTAACGTTACGCGTGCACACCACTATTTTTACTTAAGAAGAGACGTACCACTTGCGCGAAGTTCCTCGGAAGCGAAAATTAAAAAGCGCAAGATCGAATCGAATCGAACAATCGACTGCGACTGACGCTACGAGTGCGCGTCGCACAACCACGATGGTGAGTTTTCCTCCCTACTCCCATCGTTTCAGGATTGGTGGGGATCGTCCCCACTATATATATATATATATATATATATATATATATAT